CCATGTTGGCCAGGCTGGTCTCAAACTCCTGACAGTTGATCTGCCCGCCATGGCCTCCCAAAGTGCTGGAATTACAAGCGTGACCTACTGCACCTGGCCCTTTTTCTCCTTTTCATTAAGATCAGAGTTAGAACTGCTGGCTTCATTCCTAGTTGTGTCTCTGACTTATGTTACCTTTCCTTTGTTTTTGCAATTTAACCCCTTGTTAAAACAAAGATAGTCACGCTTATCTTTCTGGGTAATTATAAGAATTCCTGAGCTGGACAAGGTGGCTCACATCTGTAATCCTAGCACTTTGGGTGGCTGAGGCGGGCAGATCACCTGAGGTCAGGAGTTCAAGACCAGCCTGGCCAACAAGGCGAAACCCCATCTCTACTAAAAATACAAAAATTAGCTGGGCATGGTGGCACATGCCTGTAGTCCCAGCTACTCAGGAGGCTGAGGCAGGAGGATCAGTTGAACCCAGGAAGCAGAGGTTGTAGTGAGCTGAGATCGTGCCACTGCACTCCAAGCTAGGTGACAGAGCAAGACTCTAAAACAAAGAAAACAAAGCAAAACAAAATTCCTGAAAATTCTAGTAATGCACCTTGTAGTAGGAACACGTTGGGGAAATATAATTAAAAATAAAATCTCCTGCCAACTCCAGAGAGAGAATTCTCTCCACAAATGCAGAAAAGAAACATTTTTATTCTTGAATAAGCATTAAACTATGATGCACATCACAGGCAAGCTGCTAAAGAGATTGCAAAGACAAATCTCACCCTTTTAGGTGGCAGAGCAGATACAATCCATGACATACATGTTAATTATCTGTGTCCAAAGGAAAAATAAAACTTCTGTCTTGACAACAAGCAGAAGTTACTATTTGGAGCCAGGTACCTAGGCTAAACTCCCACAGAGACAGGGAGACAAAGTACCAACCTCCTCAGTGCTCACATTTCAAAGAGATGTCTCCACGGCATCCCAAAAGAGTATGTCCTGAAGTATAAAATGCTAGAGACGTATTCAGCTTTTTAAAAAGATTTACATACATCTCCAGGGCATAGTAAAAGGATTTATGGTGACATGTTCTTTAAAGGAAATGGTTGTTTTTTGTTTATTTTTTTGAGATGGAGTCTCACTCTATTGCCCAGGCTGGAGTACAATGGTGTGATCTTAGCTCACTGCAACCTCCACCTCCTGGGTTCAAGTGATTCTCCTGCCTCAGCCTCCTGAGTAGCTGGTATCACAGGAATGAGCCACCACACCCAGCTAATTTTTTTGTTTTTTTGTTTTTTTGTTTTTTTGTTTTTTGTTTTTTTTGAGACGGAGTCTCGCTCTGTAGCCCAGGCTGGAGTGCAGTGGCCGGATCTCAGCTCACTGCAAGCTCCGCCTCCCGGGTTCACGCCATTCTCCGGCCTCAGCCTCCCGAGTAGCTGGGACTACAGGCGCCTGCCACCTCGCCCGGCTAGTTTTTTGTATTTCTTAGTAGAGACGGGGTTTCACCGTGTTAGCCAGGATGGTCTCGATCTCCTGACCTCGTGATCCGCCCATCTCGGCCTCCCAAAGTGCTGGGATTACAGGCTTGAGCCACCGCGCCCGGCCTAATTTTTTTGTATTTTTAGTAGAGACAGGGTTTCACTATGTTGGCCAGGCTGGTCTCAAACTCCTGGCCTCAAGAGATCTGCCTGCCTCGGCCTCCCAAAGTGTGGGGATTACAAGCATGAGCCACTGCGCCCGGCCTAAAGGAAATGTTTTACGAAAAAGAAGTGGGGAAGTTCTCTCTTCCTTTTGGCATCAGGGAAAATTTAAAAGAAAAAAAATTTTTTAGCTATGTATGTATCTAAATATGTAAATGTCTAAACATGGCTCACCACTATGAAATAGGTTCTGTGGTTTGCTTACACTCTTTTATGTGGTACTTTCCAGGTCTTTATAATATAAAATTTAGGCTAGAGTCTACCCATGACTGCACTTCTCAAAATAAATTATAGGCTGGGCGCAGTGGCTCATGCCTGTAATCCCAGCACTTTGGGAGGCCGAGGCAGGTGGATCACCTGAGGTCAGGAGTTTGAGACCAGCCTGGCCAACATGGTGAAACCCCGTCTCTACTAAAAATACAAAATTTAGCCAGGAGTGGTGGTATGTGCCTGTAATCCTAGCTACCCAGGAGGCTGAGGCAGAAGAATCACTTGAACCCAGGAGGTGGAGGCTGCAGTGAGCCAAGATTGCGCCATTGCACTCCAGCCTTGGCAACAGAGCGAGACTCCATCTCAAAATAAATAAATAAATAAAAATAAAAAAGAAATTATAAAATATTTCTCGTTACCTGAATGGCTCCAGTTCCCCTCTAGTTTTACAGATTTAACTGCTCATTCTCTTCCTGAACTCACATTTTAATCCTGAAAACAACTGTGGGCTAACAACAGTTCTAAAGGACAGTGATGAACCTCCAGTTCCCTACACCTGAATGAACAGTAAAAGATATATTTTTCTGTTTTTCCACTGACAGAAGCAAGAGTGCCTCAAATGAACGTTCATGCCAAGTGTTAATATTTGATGATGAACCTAATATTTTCCCAAATTGGACTAACAAAATTTTATCAGAAACCATTCTAACACCATACCATTGCATTTGCCTGGCTCACGATTATGTGAAAAAACGAAATGTAAATGATTAACCTAAGACCATGGTGATTTACATATATAGCGAAAGGTTTTGTTCAAAAGCCGTTTAGCATTTAGCAAACAGCAGTTATGTTCTATGACAGAGCATAGTGACATCCCTGTTGTTTTCAACTCTTATAATTGACAAAAAGTATTTGCAAAACATAAAGGAAATCAACAAATTTGCAATACAGATCTATATTTTGCAAAGTTAGTTTTAGCCATTAAATACCAGTTTTTAAAATGATTTAAATGGGAACAGCTGTAAATAAGCTAGTACAAGAACAGTCATATATAGTCAAAATAAGCATGAGAGAAGCCATAATTCAATTAAGATGGTTTACCATACCTTCACTTCCCTATCCAAAATTGTGAGAAAATCAAACTATATCTTTTTCCAGCTACCTACTGCTGGCAAATGGATTGAAATTTGATTTATTGGAAAAGAAGCTGCAGTATGTAATTGTCTAAAACTTATAACATTATAACTTCTTGGATTTTAGAAGAGAAATAATTTGTATTAATAAGGCTTTTCTGCGGGAGCAGCTTACTTAAGTTAGGTTGTATAGTTTCACTAGTTGCTTCTGAAAGCCAGATACATATTGATGGATAGGACCACTTGTTTTATTCTACGTTTTCCTCATCAGTACAGTTTTCTAATTCCTGATGTCTATCATGTGGCAAACACAATACAGTCACAAGACTCCCACAGTCAATTGTGATAATCAGGGCATGATATTGTAGGGAAAATCTGTGAGTGGGAAAAAATCCTGATTCCCGAGTTCTCTTATTGGGATGGAGAGCCTGTGGAAACAACTGGCTGTTCTTTGGTTAGGGAGATGCCAAATGAAGCACAGTACAGATGGGTAAGGTGGTCTTGGAGAACAGGACTGCTTGAGAGATGCTGGCTAAACGGAGTTTCCTTGAGTTGCACAGCAGTCAGATCAAACCAGGGGAAAGGCCTGAGGTGAAAGAAAAATTGTTACTTTTTTATGTCTGTTCAGTATATCTGATTTGGCTGTCAAACACATCTTTTAAAGAAAGTTTTCCTCATAACCTTTTCATAAACTAGAAATTCAGCTAGAACTAGTCAATGTGTAGATTTAAGTGTACTTAATGGTGATTTATCACACTTATGTACATTTCTCTAAGTGTGTTTGGAGAGGAATTCATAGAGAATTATTGTAATATTGACATTGACACCCTTTGCAGAATATTTTTCTTGAATTTAGAAAGAACATAACATAAGAAGATCGTGGGCCGGGCGCGGTGGCTCAAGCCTGTAATCCCAGCACTTTGGGAGGCCGAGACGGGCGGATCACAAGGTCAGGAGATCGAGACCATCCTGGTAGAAACTTCTGTCTAGTACTGTGTTGTATAAGACTGGTAAGAGCAGGTATCTTTGCTTAGCCTTACTCTTGATCTTTTTTTTTTTTTTTTTTTTTTTTAAGAGACAGGGTCCCACTATGTTGCCCAGGCTGGCCTTGAAACTCCTGGGCTCAAGAAATTCTCTTCTCTCAGCTCCTGAGTAGCTGGGACTACAGGTGCGCACCATCGTGCCTGGCTTCTCCTGATCTTTTGAAAAATATAGAAACCCTATTGTCTTAAGGTCTTTTTTTTTTTTTTTTGAGCCGGAGTCTCGCTCTACCGCCCAGGCCTGGAGTACAGTGGCTGGATCTCAGCTCACTGCAAGCTCCGCCTCCCGGGTTCACGCCATTCCTCCTGCCCAGCCTCCCGAGTACGGGACTACAGGCGCGCCGCCACCGGCCCCGCTAACTTTTTGTATTTTAGTAGAGAGACGGAGGTTTCACCGTGCTAGCGCAGGATGGTCCCGAATCTCCTGAGGCTCTCGTGATCCGCCCGTCTCGGGCGAATCCCAAAGTGCTGGATTATAGGCCTTGAGCACCGCGCCTGGCCACTTAAGCTTTTTAACTTGAATTACACTATAGCTAATACTTAACGTTGCCCCCGTTAAAGTATTCATTTGCAATTAACTTTCCCTCTCCTCTCTGTTTTTTTTAGAGATGGGGGTCCCCCACGCTTCCTGTAGCCCAGGCTAAGGTGCAGTGTGTGATCATAAGCTCACTGCAGCCTTGAACCTGCTGGGCAACGCATTTCCACGCCGAAGCCCTGAGTAGCTGGGACTCACAGGTGCGTGTCCTCGCAGCATCCAGCTAATTTTTTTTTTTGTTTAAATTTGTACAGATGGGGGTCTCCGTGTGTGCCAGGCCGCGGCCTCAAACTCCTGACTTCAAGTGCATGCTCGCTGCCTTGGCCTCCCAACAAGGTGCTAGGCATTACACGGCAATGGAGCCACTGCACCCAAGCCTAACTTTTAACCTATACAAGCTAAAGGCCTTTCTTAAGACTTATTCTTCCTTGCTAATAATGTCCAGATCTTTTTTTTTTTTTTTTTTTTTTTTGAGATGGATCTCGCTCTGTCGCCCCAGGCTGATGCAGTGGCCAGATCTCAGCTCACTGCAACTCCGCCTCCCGGGTGTTATAGCATTCTCCTTGCCTCAGCCTCCCCGACGTAGCTGTGGGGGCGACGACAGGCCCCGCCACCGTGGCCCCCGGCTGTTTTTGTTGTAATTTTTTGTTAGTAGAGACGGGTTTACACCGTGTTAG